TCAACACCTCAACAAGTTTACCGTTTCTATGATCTGTTTCAAAATGGCAACGCATCCAGATTGTAATCTTAGCAAACGCATATCAGATCCAAACTCGGCATTCGTGTATAAGAATTACGGCTCTGCACTGCAAATGTGGTGTTGAAAAAAGGAAAAATCAAGAATCAGCACAGCACTTGTAAAAAAATCCCAGACAGTGCATAACAGCTTTTAGTGGAACAGACTAAGGTTGAATAAATTAGTAGATAAAACTCATGCTAGCTGTCATTATTCCAGTGAATTGGATTCAACAAATCTTTGGACAAGAGGATATAAAAATAACGAACAATGAGTTGTGGTGCATATCAAGGTGGAATGGGTTTTAATAATGAAGGAAATCTTGAATTTAGGTTAAGGAAGATTTTTTATTAGGATGGCAAATACATAAAAGGACAGTAAACTGTTAGGAAACGCTAATAACTATATCTTTCAGTATATGCTCCTTTACTTCATTGTTCTGATTTTTTCATCTAAAATGGTTCAGATGGTGGTGGACGGAATAGAAGAAGCTTTCGCTTAACAGGCTTCCGTGTCTAGTAGCAGGGGATCACCGAATCCTCCAGACAGGAACCTAGGTATGTTAACAATAAAAGAGGAAAGAGAAATCGGTAAATCATAGTGTGATACTATCCTTAGAGCTTAAGAATAGATCAAGTTTCCTCTTAAAGGACTCCTGGAAAGTCGCTTGAACTAGCTCGGCTGGCAGAGAATTTCAGCATCTGACAACTCTTAAGGAGTAGAAGTTGTGTCTACAGTACGTCTTGCTATGTTGAGTTTCTAGTTTCTGGGTGTTACCCCTTAGGTTATTATTCGAATTAAGCTTAAGTAGGTGTTTAAGAGGATGTCCAGAAGTGTTAAAAATAATATATGCCATTAATAAATCACCTCTAAGACGCCTATACTGTAATGGGTAAAGGTTAAGTGATTGGAGGCACTCTTCATAAGGTTTAAATTTGAGTCCTCGAACTGATTTCGTGGCTCGCCGTTGAATACGCTCTAGGGTGTCCTTATACGTTTGGAGTGAGATAGGAAATACTATGTTTCCGTACTCTAAATGGGGACGGATAAAACTATTGAAGATTATATGGAAAGTTCTTCCGTCAAACTGGTCAAAAATGCACTTCAATGTTACCAGTGCAATGTCTGCTCGGAAGGCATTTTTGTCACAGTTAGCGTAAGGCTTTAAATCGTAGAGCACCAGGACTCCTAAATCTTTTTCGACTTGGGATACTACTAGAGAGGAGGTACCTAAGTTATAACTGTAGTCTGCGACATGTCTCAGATGGACTACTTTACACTTTGAAGTGTTAAAGGTAAGTCCGTTATCGTCTGCCCAACTTAGAAGTCGAGGCAGATCTTCCTGAAGTGCCTGTATATCGTATTGGTTGCGTATCTCTCTCCAAAGTTTCACGTCGTCGGCAAAAAGTAACAAGTCCGACGTTACCTGTTGAGGAAGATCATTTATGTAGATCAAGATGAGAAGAGGCCCTAATACTGATCCCTTGGGGACCCCACTAGGACATTCCATAGCGTGAGATAAAGTGAAATTAACCCTGACCTTAGAATGTCGATTTTTCATATATGAACTAAGTCAATCGATTAGAGGTGGTCTGATACCCAATCGTTTGAGCTTATTGATAAGACATATATGGTTAACCTTATCAAAAGCTTTTGAGAAATCTAGGTAGATGATATCAACCTTCTCCTTATGATCAAGGATGCTTGCCACCGGTCGGTAACTTGAAGGTTCGCTGCGTCGACCTCCTTCGAAGATTGGTGTGATGTGAGCCAACTTTCAATTTTCCGGTAGTTTTTCTCGACTTAGCGAGTGTGAAAACATCACGCTAAGCCAAGATTGAGGCTGCTTCCCTCAGTATGGCGGAATGGACCATGTCCGGGCCAGGAGAAGTTTCTAATCTTAATTGCTGCGGTTTCCGAAACACCAAGTCAGCGCCTAGGTTCACTTCGGAAAGTCCTGTGTAATTGCAAACGAAACTGTTATCAGTAAAGTTAATGTCGCTTGGTTGAAATGTCTGGGAGTATTGTTCAGCCAGAAGGTTAGCGGCGTCGCCATCGTTATTGGTCGGGCCGTTAAGACCTGGCAGTTGAGAAACTCCAGTTTTGGCTTGACGAAGAGTGGCTGCATAACGGAAAAAGCTTTTAGGATTAGAGGCAAGTTTGTCCATAAGCTTTATCTGGTACTGAAGTCTATCTTCTCTTATAGCCTTCATGCATATGTTCCTAATATGTTTATATTGCCTGTACGCTTCGTCGTTGTCAGTTCGTTTGTATTCCGCCCAACAGTGCCTTTTGCGGCTTAACAGGCGAAAGGTACGGTTCTTGGTTATTGTAGGTGGCTTGCAGCTTTTGGGAACCGTTTGAGGAACTGAATGGTTTGTAGCACATAAGAGCGTGTGCAGTAAGAAGTCCCAATGACCATCGACATCGAGTTGGGGGTCAACATCCCAAACCACCTGTTGTAGATAGTCATGTAGAGCTGGCACATTCAACCGTTTAAAATTCCAACGCGAGATATTGGTGGGGTATCTTAGCTTAGTTTTGGTGACAAAAATGAAGGCTATGACGGCATGATCGATTTTTCCCAGGGGAGCCAGGATTGAGTGGTTGTCAACTAGGAATTCTTCGTTTGTGAATACACAGTCTAAGCGCGATTGTGTGTTCCGCGAAGTTGACTCTAGGGAGATTGAAGTCCCCTAGAATCAGGATGTGTGTGAAACCGAGACAAGTAGAGTGAAGTAGTCCTTTTAGCATACGACTATCGTACTCGATGTCATCAGTTGACTTCCTGTAAATGACTCCGACTATACACCTCGAAGTACCAGACAATCTTACAGAGCACCATATGAATTCCTCAAGATTGTTAAACTCGAGGTTGTGAACTTGGTGCACCTACAAGCAAGAGCTTATGTATATGGCTACTCCGCCCCCAATTCCTGTTATTCTGTCGTTGCGGAACAAAGTCATCCCAGGTAATGCTAACTCTTGGTCCGAGAACTGAGAAGATATCCAGGTTTCAGATATTCCTATCCGGTGGGCTTTATTGGCGTTGCTAAGTTCACGTAATTCATCCAGTTTGTTCGGTAGACTCGAGGCGTTCATATATAAGCAGTGTATGCTTTCAATTCGGAACGTGTGAGCTTCGTTCTGTTTTTCTGTATGAGTCTTATGTGAATGTGCAGGTAGCCCCCCTATGTGAGATTTACCGAGGTGGTAGGCCCTGTCCTTTACACGTTTTTTTTATCATTTAGACAGCCCACAAGTGGAATGGTCAGCTCCAACTTGCCTTTGTGCTTGGTTCTGGCTTCATATGGCCTATCCGGGTGCATGTGGATTCCAGGTGGCAATCGACGTCTGTTGGCACGAAATGCTTCCAGAACTGCAGCCGCCATGTGGGAAGATGGGAAGGTTATCTTCATTGGACGGGGTCTAAGATCACCGTACTTCTTGGCTAGTCTTGACACATGCTGAGTCAGTATGTGTTTGAGCCTCAAGGACTGTTTGATGAATTTCCATTCCCTGATGTCAGAATTTGATTGAGTAGGGTCTGCGTTTTCCGGTATACCTTGCACAATTATGTTTCTTCCGCAGAAAAACGTCTCGCGAGTTTCTTTAGGGATATTTCGTATGATATTGCGCTCAGAGAACGGTATGTCGGGCAATATTCTTACGTTACCATCTGATTTCAGCAAGTGACTTGCTAGTAATACGTCCTCTACATCTTTAGCATTCTTAAGTGTTACTCGGAGAAGCCTTGGGTGATTTAGATGCTTAGAGTCCTTTCCTCTAGGGAGCCGCGTGACTATTGAAGGCTCTATCCTAGGATGTTCGAGCTTCTTGTTCAATTCACCCCAGAGCATCCTGTCGTTTTTGTCCTGCAGACTGAGAGGAAGGTCAGGAATATCAACGAGGTTCATGATAATGAGAGAATCGTCACGAACTGTTGTTAATGTACCAGGTTTCACGATGGGTTCATGTTTAATAACTTGCTGTTTGGAGGTCACTGTGCGTTTTTGAGGCTTGGGCTCTTTATTGACCAGACGAACAGTCTTAGGAATAGACTGTGCGACCGAATCACCAGTTAATTTCCGTACATCAACACTTGGGTTGCTCGGCTTAGGCGGTGATGCCTGGTTCTTTTGGGCTCTCTTAACGTGAGTCGAATCGCCTACAGGGATTTTGGGAACCACTGTTGTGTTCAGAGACCCTGAGCTGGGAGACCCGAGTTTGCTTAGGGAGTCTAATACCGTCGACGTAATGATGGTGCTGAGCCTCGACATGGATGCTCCATCGATGGTATACCTATCGACATCCCTATTTTTGTATCCGTCGCACGCCCTAGTTTGTCTACCGGTTTTTTTACTATCGTTGTTCAAGTTATCTGACAACTTGTTGCGAAGACCTGTCAGTAGGACAATGATGTTACTCAGCAAGACTACAGTGTCTGTGCTGCACGTGACACATACCCATTTTTGGTCTGACTTGCTGAGTCTGTTGTAAGCAGTTGATGTCAGATCTGTGCATGCTTCGTGGAACCAACCTTTGCAGTTGTCGCACTGCATGCCAGTTAACAGCAAATCGACATCCAGGACGTTTGCATGAGTTTTTCATGACTATGTTGAAGCAAACTATGTTATAGATGCTTGCAAAAGCCTAAGACCTTTAAGAAAACACTAAAAAGCACACTGAAAACGGACGAAAATGGATAAAACGAGTGATATAAACTGAAACTAGTCTATACGTGAAAAACAAAAAATCTGAATAGTAAGCTGAGGCAAAACTACAGGTAACTATTAAAAATGGTGAAACTTAAAAAAGTAATCTACCGAACGTATAGCTCAGGATAGATTCTTTAGAACTGAAATGGTACTTTTGTTGCGTAAGAACACAGCAAAAGTTTGATAAATGCAAAACACGTTAGGACTAACCTTCCCGTTCGAAAAGCGCGGTAATCAATTCTAGTGGCAACCAAAATGTCATTATGCCAAAGTCTGAGTTATAGGACGTCTTGATAGTATAGAAAATTCGACGTAAATCTGCAAACATACTTCCGAGTAGCCAGATTAGAGGAACAACCTCAGTATCATCAACTAGTTTTCTTGTTCCCAATCGAAAAACACCTAAAGAAAACAAAATGTTCAGTCCCACAAACATAAGTGGATCTTAATCATCGTCCTTACCATCAATGCTTAAATCTAATCCATTTGGAATATAATGGGATAGGTCTATCCAAGATACGTCGCGGATTACTCCTGAAATGAGGGATTTTAACTGATCAACTATTAATGTATTAACCGTAAGACCTGGTAGATGCATAGCATTCGGAAGTTTAGTTTTTAAATATGAACCTGGATCAGGAATATTCAATCGCTTTAAATAATTCCATTCAATATATCCATTCTGAGAGTAAAATGAGTTGATGTATTTATCCTCAGCATAAGTATAACATTTTGGAACGAAGCCACTACGACCGGCAATCAGATTACCATACAATCGACCAGTACTGATAAGACTAGAGACAATACTATTAATTAAATTTTCAGGAATTTGAAGCTTTGAAGCAACTGAACTCAAAGTAACAGGACGGATAACACCTGTAAAATAACCTCGAATTTTCGCCTTAGTAGCATTAAGGAAAGTATCTGTAAAGTACTTCTCACCATATTTATGTACATGAAATAAAGTACTTTGATACTCTTGCATAATACTCGATAAGAATGTTGTAGGGAGATTAAAAATGACAGTTAGTTCACCAATACTAGTCTGGCCATGCTCTTCTAGTCGATCAAGTATTTCATGAGCTACGCGTCGAACATATGAACTGTTGACAACTTCACTAGGCATACTGATCAAACGACAAGGCGACTTGTTTTGTGCATCTAAGGTTATCAATTCAGTGACTCTTGATTCAATGATATCGAAATCCACATCAAGATTTGATGCTAGTTCTGTAAGTGTAATTCTACCAGAATGTGCTTCAACTTCATCTCGGATTTCCTTATCGAGCTCGTTCCGAGTTAAATATGATCGCCCATCAGTTGAGAAAACCAGTTTTAATCTATTCACAGACATTAAATGTTGTCTAATATCGACCCATGTTCTATCAGATAGTTTACAAATATTAAGTTGATTTTGTGTTTCTTTGAGTTTGTTAGCCAGTTCTCGCACCTCATCCCAAGTTGCCATACTGTATTAAAAACTGAAAGTTACGTAGTATTTCTGGAATGTCTATAAAGAGAAAATAGATAAACTGCATAAAATCAATTGATAGAATAAGGTTTAAATTCAACATGCAACCAGTGATGTATAACTTTTATATCACGAACTGGTACAAAAACTAACGGGTAGGACTGAGCAAGACGTTGCACAAATTTTTATATTCATGAATACCACTATAACTTGCGAGCTATATAGCATCCAACAGGATAGCAACCTAGCCTCAGTAGAAATACAGATGGTTTGTCTGCTATTTATAGACATATGTAAGTTACGTACCTAATGAGATATTCAACTGCTAATTAAATGGTAAGTAAATAAGCTATGTAACATTGCTCTCTACACAATACCACAGTATAAGACTGCAATACTGAAGGTGAAGGAGGTGTAAAGATACAACCATTCGGTCTCGGGTCGATACTTCAATGTGCCAGAACTAGGAACTAAATGATGGTTCACAATCTTCAACAACCAACCGGATTAAACCTACTAACATCCTGTCTTCAGAGCTCTTTCTTAATCCTCTTACAGATTGTAGATTTCTGTGCTATTTCAGTATAAGACAACATCGATCAATAAGCAAAAGAAACGAGCTTGCGCATGACCGATGAACTAAGTCGGATAATTTTAGAGTTGACAGATATACAGGATAGTGGTACTTTTCCTTGCTGAAAAGACTTTTGTAATCCCGATCGTTTATAAATTATAAAGACTTTTCAGTTTAATTGAATTGCTATCAATTAAAGTATTTGAAAAATATCGTTCTTATCAATTCAGTGACTCTTGATTCAATGATATCGAAATCCACATCAAGATTTGATGCTAGTTCTGTAAGTGTAATTCTACCAGAATGTGCTTCAACTTCATCTCGGATTTCCTTATCGAGCTCGTTCCGAGTTAAATATGATCGCCCATCAGTTGAGAAAACCAGTTTTAATCTATTCACAGACATTAAATGTTGTCTAATATCGACCCATGTTCTATCAGATAGTTTACAAATATTAAGTTGATTTTGTGTTTCTTTGAGTTTGTTAGCCAGTTCTCGCACCTCATCCCAAGTTGCCATACTGTATTAAAAACTGAAAGTTACGTAGTATTTCTGGAATGTCTATAAAGAGAAAATAGATAAACTGCATAAAATCAATTGATAGAATAAGGTTTAAATCCAACATCCTGACCTTTATTTGTGTGATGGCTATTCTGAATTTTTCCGTCTTTGGTGAATTAACATCTATTGAAAGGTGTATGTGCTGCTTTGACGTCCGTTGGATTCATTGGAGCCGGCCTATTCAAGAGTTCATCAAAGTACTCTACCCATCTGTTCCGCTGTTCTTGAATTTTAGTGATTGGCCTTTCTGACCGGTCTCTCTGGTTTACTATATTTCCCTGCTAGTTTCTTCGTTATATCGTAAAGCTGTTTCATATTTCCTTCTCTTGCAGCTTTTTCCACTGTCGTTGCTAGTTCCTCCACATATTTCTGCTTGTCGGCTTTAATGCCGACATTAGAGCAAATCCCTGAGTGTGTGGAGAATTTTCCTCTTCGTGACCGGAGTATAGTAGCATCTCTTCAGTATCTATCCTTTGTTGTCGAGCTTGTGTCCAATGGGTTTCGCGGATTTCCAGTACTGCCAATTTGTATCTCCTTATTTCTGTTACTATTTGACTGGTCATCTCGGTCTTCCACGTTGTCCGTTCGTTCAGTGCACCTATAAAAATTGTTGTTCTGGTCGTTAACAGGGGCATTAGCCTCATGGCTTTCGATGAGGCGTCACAGTTCTTCTAAATGAAGACTAGCTTCTTTGCTTCAGTGTATTCCAGTTGTCCTCCATAATAGTTTCTTCTTCTTTGACTGGATCTCGTAATGATTGGAACCGATTGTTGAGAGCTGTCTTGAATTCGTTGACTTTGTCAGTAAGTCGAAGGAAGGCTGTATTTAACCATTGTATAGCTGTTTCCCCAGTTTTCCAGTGTGTTTTAATTTTAGTTTGATCTTGGTCAATACCAGGTGGTGGTCTGAATCCATATCAGCTCCTTTCCTGGTCCTCACATCTTCCATTGTCCTTCTGTAATTCTTAGTGATACAATTATGATCTATCTGGTTCTCCGTGATGTGATCCGGTGAGACCCATTTAGGTTTGTGTATGCGTTTGTGTGGGAATATAATGCCACCTATAACCATTTCGTTGAATGCACATAAATTCGCAGATCTCTCACCTTTCTCGTTCTTTTTCTTGTAAACCACGTCGTCCCATGATATCTTCATAGCCAATGTTGTCCATTCTGACTTTGGTGTTTAGGTGTATCTTCAAGACTGTCAGGATCTTTCCTGAACACTTCGCTATGATCGATTACAGCCTCATAAAACTGATCTTCATCGTCTTCGTTGCAATCATTGATGGGTGCATAACACTAGATAACATTCATAGCTACGTTCACCATTTCAATCGCTCCTGATAACAAGATAATTACATCTAAGCAGCAATGATGGCATAGGCACACGCATCCGGGTCCACTATAACTTGTTAACACTGCATGTATTTGATTAGTGCAAACTTCATGGTACGTTTACTACACTGCATCTCACTATCCACCGGGTATCAACAACCTGGGCGTTAACAATTACTTTCTTTACTCTATCTAGTCATCTCTCGAAGATTTTCAAATAGATTGAAAGAGAAAATGTTATATAGGCAAAAGCCGATAACCAGAAAAAGATGGGTTAAAATAAAAACATACTATGAACAGTCAAATCCAAATGTGCAATAACCGAAAATGCTGCTGTATTTAAAAAGAATACAGGTTATAAACCCTTTGTAAGAACGATATTTTTCAAATACTTTAATTGATAGCAATTCAATTAAACTGAAAAGTCTTTATGATTTATAAACGATCGGGATTACAAAAGTCTTTTCAGCAAGGAAAAGTACCACTATCCTGTATATCTGTCAACTCTAAAATTATCCGACTTAGTTCATCGGTCATGCGCAAGCTCGTTTCTTTTGCTTATTGATCGATGTTGTCTTATACTGAAATAGCACAGAAATCTACAATCTGTAAGAGGATTAAGAAAGAGCTCTGAAGACAGGATGTTAGTAGGTTTAATCCGGTTGGTTGTTGAAGATTGTGAACCATCATTTAGTTCCTAGTTCTGGCACATTGAAGTATTGACCCGAGACCGAATGGTTGCAATCTATACACCTCCTTCACCTACATCTGCATCTTATCCTCCTTGTTCATCGATGATGCTGCTGTTCAGGCATGTGAAAGATTCTACATTTTCCTGAGTTTCTCTATGAAGTTTGATTGTCTTGGTGTTCGCCGTGTTGTATTTGAAGACATTGGTTTTCCCCTTATGTATGTTGAGGCCTACTGATGCAGAAACAGACTGCTGCTACACTGGCTGTCTTTATCTGCATCTGTTCGTGTGTACTGGATAGTGGGGCCAAATCATCTAATTGATTCCGAGCTGTCCATTTTATTCCGTGTTTTCCAAATTTGACCACATTTCTGTTCGTGACTCAAGTTAGCGTTCAGAATTTGAACGTCTTGATGACGATAGAAGCGTGTTTCACATATTAATTAAAATAGAGAACTGTTCAAGAGAACGGCCTAGTTGTTTTATCTGATAGACTTCAACTTAGCTTGGTCACGACACTTCCAGAATTGGAACATTAGCACTCAGACTTCATGGTCAACATTCAAAAGAATTCTAAGCGTCTTTATCTTAGGATCAAGTGGATTAGATCTTGGGGATTTCTCACCACGATTTTAGCTCGCTCTCTGTTACTGTGTTCGACATAACACCTTATGTATTGTTGCATTACTTATTTATATTTAGATAAAATTTGTGGCGATGTTATATATTATTAGCAGTAACATCGGTTGCACTGTGCATTTAAATAAATCCTATCGTGCATGGAAGTGAAATAAAATGTATTTAAGGACAACTAAGTAGTATATGTCAGGGTTTCTTATTTACTCGCCTACACAACAGGTGACGCAATTGGGCAGACTTCCTCAGATATCAGACTGTCAGGGCTGTTGAGACTTTCAAGACAAATGAAGCAGTCAGCACCATGGTTAATTCAAATGGCACAGGCCAATCATGAAATAACATTATGCATTGAAAGGCAGAGAATTCCATCTTGAATACGTCCGCATATCCGCTTAACGTGGTCATAAGGTTGGATCCCTCGGCACCTTCACCAAACCGAACTACATCATATGCGTATCCTAAATCAGCAAATGGATCTCCTGGTAAATCAAGTCAAACGGTCAGAGTGTTGTCTTCCAAAGAATTCCTATTAACATGTTAAATTAAGATTGAGAAGGTGAACAACACTGACTAGCGCCACTTGAGGAAATTGGTCTCGATGTCAGTTCGTCATTAGATGTAACTCGACTAGTAGTGTTCGAGTTAATCCACTTCTCTGGTAGATCTCTCAACGACGGATACTGCCACAGAACTTCACGATCAATAAAGTTTAACTGCGCCTAAGACTCAGGGAATGTAACTGCATTCAGACATCGGGAAGTATGTCTATGTCCCAGAACCTGCCGAAGGGTGAATATTTGGTCTGCACATCTACGTCTAGGTTTAGAAGCAGCCTGTTTTCTTCGGGTTTGCTCTACATGAGCTCTAGTTTGGCATCAAAGTATTGTTGAAGCTAGTATTTTCGACACCACATTAGTCAAGCGAATCCCTTTTTGACTGACACAAGAGGATTCCTGTTTTTATGGACTGAGACGGCAAGTGGTCGAGACCAGTCAGATAAGGTTATGTTCAGTTTTCATATGCTAGCTGGAATCTTAGTATGACTGCAAGAACTTTAGCACTATGTTTAAAAATCTTGTGTTATTTAATCAAAACCTCAAACCTATCGCTTAGAGCTTTTTCAAATGGCCACGTTTCGCTGCCGTAAATTAAGACAGAACGGACTGCCGCACTGTATACTCGTCCTTTTATTGAT